TGACTGGGTATTTTAACCTGTGTGACGGGAATTCAAAATTTTAAGTTGTTTTTGTTATTTTTAATTGCACAGACCTATATAAAGGCTGAAACTCGAGTTTTAGGGTTAGTTTTTAGCAGAATATTGATTTTTACCTTGGTTTTCAGCTTAAGGCTTGAAATTTTTCTCTGTATCAATCAAGTTTTCCCCTTGATTGTGATCGAGATTCTACCTTTCTATATTGATTGAGCCTTCTCTCATCTTGTCTTGAGATTGCACTTTCAATTCCATCTTATCCCAAACAAACAAAAACCCCTAAATAGTCTTTCTATTGTTCGTTCTTGGAGCTGTGTCCTTTGATAACTACGTGTACAGGTTCCGTGCTCGTATCACGTGGTATCAGAACGTCGGTTCAACACAGTGACAGGATCGAAAGCGAGAGGACCTGATTCTTGTCGAACGAGGTCCAAATATCCGATTGAAGAACACATAGAAAAGGAGGAATCGCTCTCTGAAGAAGAAACCCCAATTGAAGAACCAGTCATGGGAGAGCAGAGTCAGAACCTTGCAGAAGCTATGACGCTGTTTGCCGCACAAATGACGCAGATGGGAGCCTTGCTTCAGGCCCAGCAGGACGCTACCAAAGGTCAGCTGGTTGAGACAAATCAGACAGAGGCTGGATTCCCTTATCACCAGGTTGGAGACACAACCAATGGGTAATCCACTACCACCGGAGAATCCAGCAATTGTCGCAGCTCATACTGGGGCCGCGAACCGAGAAGGTCCCCGAGCAGACCAAATGTATGACTTTCATCATTGTTTACCACAAGTTACAACTCACATACCATAGCAAACGTTTGCAAAAACGACTTAAAAACGAAGAAGTTACCATATGGTATGTAGTTGGTAACTAGAGGTATGAAAAAAAGTTTCTCGAAATATATTGAAAATTGATATCATTTTGTAGAGCACAACGAACTCGTTTCATCTGTGCAAAAAAAATTGAAATCTGAGTTAGAACGATGAAGATAAGAGTCGATTAATGAAGCTAGAAAAAATAAAATGTCTTTAATTCACAACCCTTAAATCTAAATTTTCTGAATCCACTCAAATTTAAAGATCGAGATTCACTTACGCATAGATTAGTAATCAATTAGTGAAGGTATCCCAAGCCCATTTTGAGCTAGGAGTAGGGATAAGAAAACAAGTAGATCGTTATTAAATAACGAAATGATTTGTTAAAATAAACTCAATTTGTCAAATCGCCAGCCAAAACCAGTAAACGTCTCAACATCCCATCCTTCTATTTTCTTCTGGTAGCTGCCCTCCCTCTCCCCTCGCAGTCTTCCATTGTCTGCCCTTCCTCCCTCCCTCCCCCGTCCCGTTAATACACCACTTTCCCGGTCGACAAAGCTCTGAACCAAAACTACAGAATCAGAAAAGAAGCTCCAATCCCATTCCAATCACTCGCTCAGTCACTCTGTTCCTTCTTTCTCTCCTCTTCCAACCGCTCCGCTCTTGTAAGAGCTTTTGACGATTTTTTGGGTTCGATGAGGGCTTTTGATTCATGCCGCAATGCCTTCAATCGAGCCGCCAATCGATGCTTCGATGTCTTCCCTTGTCTAGCAGATCCCGGTATGTCCATTTTTTATTTTTATTTTCTTAATTCCGAACAATCTACGCCTCTGTCATTTTCCAACTCTCGGATGTGTGATTTCCAGCGAGGAGATCATCGCTGGGATTGAGGCTAGCATTGGTGTTGCTGCATCTACTCTATGCTGGAGTTCTCTTTCTCTTCGACACTGACTTGATTGATAAAACGAAGCAGCAGCCTTGGTATGTATGCCAGTCACTTTTCTTTAATCAGAATCTGTCGCCGAATTAGCCCAAATTTATGTGATTTCCGGTTTCACTTACTTGAATGCACTGCATGACTCTGCTCCCTACTCTTGGTTATGCACGTTCTGGTTCCTTTTCTGGTGCATTCGAGGTTTAGGGTGGTTTTGGAAGATCCTAGATTGGGTAAATCATGAGCTTAGTTACTTGAACTACAGTTGGTATAGGGTTTACTGCAGCTATTGTTGACCTCCTCTTATTTGCTTTCTTCAGGTTTACTGCTCTGTATGGCTTGTTGTTCTTCGCAACTTTGGTTCAATATTTCGTTACGTCTAGCTCATCTCCTGGGTACGTTAATTGCATCATGCTCAAACACATTGAGTAGCTAAACTTCTGGGGGGTTTCATTGTCCATTCTTATTAATCCAGTCTTCGTTCCACCCCCTCTTTCTTTCCCCTTCTTCTTTTAGCTATGTCATTGATGCAATGAGGGACCTTAATGAGAGAAACGCAATTGCTAGGCAGGCAGCAATGATTTCAAAGTAAGTCTGATTTTGAGCTCGTTCAGATTAGTGGAACAGATATTGATTGCAACTTAGGTTCAGTGAGGGGCTAATGGTAGGGTTTCCGGATGTCTGTTTTGACACTTGGCCTACTGATAACTACCTTTTCCGTGTTTAAGCAAAGACAGCCTGCTTCAAGTAAAAATGGAAACTTGGTTATAACCATTGATGCTACTCAGCATGGACGCCTGCTTCATGGAAGTAATATAATGCCATGGACAAAGCTGGTTTTAGATCTGTATCCCCCTGGAACGTCGGTCAGGTATGACTTTTACACTGTATGTTTGATCTAGCGTGGCCTCCTTTTGTTCTTCATTTGGAGATATGATATATTTACTGTTCTTGATTGGGAAGGCAGAAACAAATCGTAATTCATCACCTGGATCTGTATCAAGTAGTACATACTCTTAATAGGCAGAGTTAAATGCTAAATTGACTATCTCAAAGAGCTAGAATTTTTAGGGCAGATTTCTGTGTGAAGGGTCCTGCATTCCAACTCTCCTGATACTCTCGGGGAACCATGTAATTCTCCAGCTGATTTACACTTTTAGATTTTGAGTCATGCTGTTCATTGTTAGGTTTTAAGTGATGTTCTTTCTTTTGGCAACTGATACAGTGGTTGTGTGACGTGAGTGTTAGCAATACTGTAACTTCATCTAATGGCAATAGACTTTGATAAAAACTCTGTTTATTCTGCTCTATGCAGAAACTGCACTTGTTCCTATTGCAATGTTGAACAGGTAATTATTGGACATCTTGGCATAGTCTTCTGTTATTTTTGTGGGAATTTAAATCTGTTTTTGCTGTTGTCACCTTTTCGTTACCTACCATTTCTAATGTAAATGCAGCCTCCTCGAGCAAAGCATTGTCATGATTGTGACAAATGCGTTCTCCAGTTTGATCATCACTGTGTTTGGCTTGGAACATGCATTGGCCAGGGAAATCATTGTCGGTTCTGGTAAGCTGTCATATCTTTTCATTGCCTTATAGGGTAGTGATGCGTAGTCTGTGAACGAAATGATGATAATTCACTCCGTGAAGTTTTGTATGTTCTAGTTGTTGGTTGAGCAGCACCAGAAAGTTCAGTTTCTTGTTCTGCTAAGTTACTAGGTCTATTGATGGCTGCCGTTCTAAGTCAGTTATATTTCCATGAAGTGCTTTACTTGTTTTTCTTTGATCCTTGCTTATATCGCCTGTGCCATATATACTCACTGAGCTATCTTGTATTTATATGTAATATAATACTTCAGGTGGTACATCTGTGGGGAAACAGCATTGTGTCTGTGGACTGGCATCTTGTATATCACCTATTTAAAGTCTAACATCTCGAGGTTTTGGTATGATTACTTGTTGAGAGCTTGTCTCTAATTGTTGGACTTCGTTTTTCAATGGATTTAAACTATTTTCTAATTGACACACCATTATGTCTAGGTGGAAGGATGCCATCACGATACTGCTGGTGATTACTTTGTCAATCTTTTTATTATTTCTGCTTCTCCTCCTGCTTTTCCATAGGTAAGTAAATTATGGCTTTATCCCCACAAATAGCTGGTACTGTGTTTGTTGCATTATACTATCACACAGCTCTCTTGAAAACTAATGTCTTTCACCTCTGGCCATAAAATTTCCACCATTTATTACAGTAAACTTCCTTCTACTTCCTGAAAAAGTGAAGGATAAAAGTTTATATTGCTGCAGAAAGTACCTTTCTTGAAAATTAACCTTTTGGAAGCATTAAGACAATGCACTAACACTTGTTTCTGGTACAGCTATCTTATTCTTACCAACCAGACCACCTTTGAATTAGTAAGACGCAGGCGGATCCCATATTTGAGGTATGTTTGTACTTCAACACACTCTTCTGGCTAAGACCAACCTTCCTTAAACCATAATTTGGGCTACCGTGTACAGCTGCATACGGAGCACCTTGCTTCAGGTCCTGACCACTTTTTACAACCTGCTCTTGGTGATCTACAGGGGTATTCCTGAAAGAGTGTATCCCTTCAGTAAGGGAGTCTGCAGCAACTTGTATGGTTTTTGTTGTGCTCCTAGAAGCCTATACAGTTTGGAAAGGATGCCCTCGAGGGTGGAAATGGAAGAGAAGTCAAGACCTTACACGTGCTTGGATATTTTGACTTGCCGTTGCTGCTAAGAGTTTTGTTTCATTGTAGATTTACTCGTGTGCAGAGTATTCACAATAGAGTCCATAGGAAGACAGTTTGTTCCACCAATCAATCCATTTGTCTCCTCTTTGGAAAAGAACGACACTTGCCAAGTTTCAGTTTGCCGCTTCTTTAGGAGGATCTGCAGTTAGGGATAAGGCAATTGTGTTCTTGACTTAAGTAATGTTGTTTGTACTCTGGGATAAATCTCAGCATGTCTGCTACGTCATGTGTGTAATTTGTATGCTAACGAGGATGAAAGAAACTGTTGTATCACTGTGGGTGTTATGTAACCCATTAGAGCGAAGCTGTAACTATTTGCAAAGCAAGCGAGGCAAGCAGTTACGGCCAGAATGGAGATGGAATACCCAATCACTTTATGATTCGAAGCACCAGTGAAGTATGCTGGTTTTCTTCCTGTCGTACACAGCTAATAGCGCAATGCACATACGAAAGGGTTCCTCGGAAAATATTGCATGAACCAACTCAGCAAGTCGTGTAATACAAATGATTGCATATCTTGTATGGATATTACAGAGATTTAAGTCATGATGTATACAATATAGAATAATTTCCATGCATGAAGCAAAAAGGACTTGTGCAAAATGAGGTCAGAAGCCTGTCTAAGCTTTTGGTTTGCGATACTTGAGAGCTTCAAAGCGAGCAGCAAGTTGATCATAGTCTGGCAACTTAGGATGATGAACTGCAGGGACAGGTGGCGGAAGACGCACAGGAGGAGGCGGACAACCAGCAGCAGCACCACCACTTGGACTTGGGTTTTCCATTTCAATCTCTTCGTCACAGTCGGATTCATCAAACAGAACGCCAGAATCCCGAGAGGAGCATCGCTGGTCATCATCGTGTGTGCCACCGTGGACATTTCGGTCATCCTCCTGCACTGCCATCATCCCATTGTAGCTGTGTCTTCTTGTATAGGGAAGATGATCACCGTCAACCATCTTTGTTGCTGGCGGTGGCACGTCGTTGTAGCTGTACCTCCTGAACCCTTCATTGCCTCGACAGTCGGAAGACCCACTGAAGTTCTGATGATAGTCATCCTTCATTCCTGGACCGGTATCAGACCGATTCCTCTCCCTGTCAGCTAAGTAAGCCGCAGCTTGTGCAGCTGCAATTGCTTGCTTTGCGGATTCTGCAGCTGCATCAGCGGCAGTTGCAGCATCTCCAAAATAAGCATCACCAGGTTGGCCTTCATTAGTTGATCTGTGAAAGATGATAAATGGCACAGGTGTTGATACGGAAAACGTTACTATTTAGAGCCTCTTGGTGTGACAACTGACGGTGACAAGAGAAAAATAACTAACCTGGTGGTGGTTCGTTTATGTGGCTCAACAGAGTTACTCGGCTGTAGCTTAACTGGGAAGCTGGAAGCACTGGCAAAAGTGGAAGGTCCATCCTGATTAAGCAGAAAGAAGCTCAAAGAATTAGTTAGCAGCTGGAAAGAGATTGACAGATAAGAGATAATAAAAGAATGGAGTTACTAACTATGAGTTCTTCTGGGGGCTTGAGGAGCTCCTTCTCAGACTCTGCTGTATCCCAATCCACCTGATACTCTTTGGCAATCTCTTTCATGACTTTGAGCTTCACTTCACCAGTGGGAGGTCTGACAGAGAGCTTGTCGATTAACTGCGAAGAAAAAGCAGCTAGTTTGGAGTTCCCTGGCTCGGGGAAGGAGCGAGGGTGGTGATTGGTAAAAGTAGACAAGAGATTACCATGCGATTAACCCCACAATCTGGTCTCAAATCAGTGGCAGCATTCACAAAATCAGTCCCATACTTTTTCTGAAAAATGTCTTTCAATGCGACTAGTTCTGGGATCTCAGAGCACCTTGGGGCAGCAAACATCAAACTGGCAATTCCTTCTTTCAGGTCTGCTGGACAATCCCTGGGAACAACGAGTCAATGGGCATGGCAGAAGCACTTGAGAATGAACTCACGGGTTGGAAGGGTTTCTGCAGACTTTAAACCCTATGCGGTATTTGAGTGGAGGGCGCACCTTTGCTTTGAGATGATTGAAAGTCTGGACACTAGTAGCTCACAGAACAACTCAATGAACTCATTTGCAGCCAAAACATTCTGCTCTCGGATCACATGCTCAACCTATACAAACACGCCCGTGTTATGTTAATCTACAACCCAACCAAAATGATTACAGAAAATCATTCAGTCAAAGAAGCAACAGTTATCCAAGAGACAGAGATATGGCATATCCAAATTGCAGTCCGGACTCGAAATCATCGAATCCCAGCGTGAGCATCGGCGAATGAAGTGGAGTGGAGGGTTTCCATATTACCCGGATACGAGCAGTAGCATCCTGGCCAGACTGAAGAAGCAAAGCGACGTCTCTTCGCATCTGCCGCACCACCGTCTGTCTCTTGTTCCTTAGCAGCTTTATCCTCGCCACCGTCATCTTCGCCGCCATTTTACTGCTCCAAGAACACAAAAGCACGCCCATCACACTCCATGGTTTGGTAGAGGGAGAATAGAAACAAGGATAGAGGGTTTCAGCAGAGGAATGTGGAACGTACCATTTGGAGGAGTTGAAACGAGGCCAGATGATAGAGAGGGTGAACTTCATCAACTTCTTGGAGGAGGAAACGGCGGCACTGGCGGCGGTCATGGCGGTGGTCGGAGTTGTTGAATTTCCTCAAAAAGTATCGGTAAAGCGAGGGTATGTACAGTTGCACCAAAAAGAAAGAAAAAACACAGATTATTTCTAATCATGTACCGATCTCGCTTTTCGAGTTTCAGTTGTGGCCTCTCGTGAGAGACGAGAAAAAACGACCAGAGGTTCGATCCTTACGACGACCTTCCTTTCCCTCTCCAACCTGTTTCCAACCGTTAAAGAGGTTGGTTTCTCATTCTTGCAAGTTCAGACCAGAATCAAAAAAAGATCCTAACAACACTATTAACCATTTACCTCTTTGGCGATTTTCTGAAGGATGTCTATGATTTCACAGAAGCTGGGCCTTTGTGTTGGGTCTTGTTTCCAGCATTTCTCAAGAAGTTCCGCCAGTCTTGGTTGAGTCTGTTTTGGAATTGTAGGTCGCAAACACTACAGCAAGCAAGGTTATAATAATCGGCATCATCGTAGACAGGCCTGGAAAGTTCAACGTATCCAACTAGTATGTATGTATGTTTATTTGTTAAAAGTACCTTTTGCACCACGCCCACAGCTGCTTGCAATGGGGTTAGGTATGCGTACGGGAGCTGGAAGTAAGATTAATAGAACCTGGTTCAGCCAGGTTTCCAACAGAAGCAGCAATCATTAAAAAATAATTCTAGTTGCAAGTTTACCTCTCCGGTTAAAAGCTCCCACAACACTATTCCAAAACTGAAAACGTCTGCCTTGTGATCATATGGCTTGTGTTCAATCACCTTCACCCAGTTAAATATATCTGTAAGTAAGAGCATGCTAAACTCAAAACAGCTAACTCTGAACAGAGTAAAATATTTTATTTATCTCCAACAAGTTACATGCCTCAGGAGCCATCCACCGGTACGTCCCAGTTTCAGCAGTCATTACTCCAGATTGAGTCTGTACTCTGGCAACTCCAAAATCAGCAACCTTAACTACCTATATCAAGAACCAATAAAGAAACTGAATGAATAATGAAATCCAAATATGCATTGAAAACTTAGGCCCTTAGGCTGGCTGGTCAAGGAGACAATTTTGCAGATGATATACTGGTGGGTCATGATCTTACCTCGTTCTCGTCCATTAGTAGATTTGCCGTCTTCAAATCCCTGTGAATTATACTATTCTGGTGGAGATAGTTCATTCCCTTCGACACATCTATTGCAACTTTAATTAACGATGGAAGTTTGAAGACGCCATTCTGCTTATGCAGAAAATCATATATACTACCTCTTGCCATGAATTCTGAAAAGCCAAAACACCAGAGCAAATATCAGTGAACAGAACATAAAAATTTCAGCCCAAAAAATGAATCCCTGGAATACCAAATGCATTTTTACCAAGATACAATGGCCGACTATATGCAAAGGTAGTGACAGATTCTATATTCACAATGCGCATAGCTCAAAGACACCCATAACTCCTAATTTACAAGTTAAAATGAATAAACGTAGATGTCAACAAGGCCACCTGTCACTATACACAAGTTTGGAGGCTGAGTGCACGCTCCGATGAACTGCACAACGTTCTTATGTCGGACTTTCCTGCAAATTAATTGAGGTAATCAAAATGTTATGTAAAGAGAACAGAGCAGAGACCACCACCACTCAGAAAGAGGAAATACGAGCATTCAGCAAGAGAAGCATTATGCATGATGTAGCATGTTGAGCGAAACAATGCCTGATTAGTTGTATCCAATCTAAAGACCATTTACAGGAACACAAACAGTGATTCCATTTCATTTATCTTCTCCAGATTATTTTATTTCCCTCCATGAATCCAAGCAGAGTATGGAAATTAACGATAATAGATGGTGCAGAACGTTAGCCCCACCACAAACAAAGTCAAACAAACTTAGCCATTCACAGACCTCATTATATAAACTTCTTGAGAAAATTCTCTAAGCATTTCGGCACTGACACGCTCTGGCTTTAGAACTTTGACAGCCACTTCCTGACTGCAATACATGCCTTTGTATCTGAAGAAATTTGAAACCAATTAATTAATAGGAAACATGAAATAACATCTTCGTGTCACTTCACAAAATATAACTTACAGATCGCCATGCGCTCCAGATGCCACTTTGTTTTCAACTTTTATCTGACTGGCATCAATTTCCCAGACATCAGTGCCGTCACTGGGTATTTCTATGCAACCAGGAAGTGGTACAATCCTCGTGTTATTAACAATGCTGATAGTGGAAATAGAAGGCTGTTTCGAAACTTGCTGTTCCTGCTGGAAAATTTTTAAAATAAAAATTAAAAATATGCCAGGGATAGCATGAGGTGATGCACCACATGGCAATTGATATCTGCTACTACAATATGGTATTACATCAAAAGTATACATTCTAAGATAAGAACAGTTGAAATTCAAAACTCATATCTGTAACTGGATTAATTGCTCTAGTCAAATAGGATAAGGTAAGTTGTCCTGTTTAAAACTCCACATCACAACAAAGACAATACTTACGGAAGTGGTAGCATAACTAAATTACGCCAGTAATGCGGGTAATGAGTTCCTCTCCATCTGGGTATCCCAGGCAAGAAACTAAAGGAGAAAAGAGCTGTGACTGCAAAATGTCCATGAGATTGCATGTTCCTCGTTTCCAACTCAAGGTTGAAGAAAGAAAAAAAAAAAGACTAATAACCCTAGAAAAAGAAAGGTGCAGGTTCTTTGGATAGTGAAGAGACTGGTGTCCCTAAGAAGAAACTCTGCGGATATCTGAATTCTGCTATTCCAAAGTTTTGAAGGCTATGAAGCATATTGAGGACCATCTTGTGAATCAGTAATATAATCATGAAGAAGCATACGAAGCAGTAAGCACATCAAGGATTGAATAAGTTGTGACCTCTACCACCCCATAACAAGACTGTAAAAACTAGATTTATCTCATAGTTCTCCTTGTACTTGTGATTAGCTCTCCCTCCTTTTGAAAAGATTTTTACATCTGTCAAAAGTTCACATCCTTGCCAGTTCCCACAATCACTGGCAAAGAAAGAAGGACCAAGAAAGAATTACATAGATGCATATAAAAGGAATCAATACAGGATATGTTAAACTTCAAAGAATCTTTCGAACAATGCATGAGGAAGTTGCATTAAGTAACTGTTCCACAAACAGCAGAAAACCCAGTAATACACTACTGTACCAGGGTGAGATACGCATGTAGAAAAGGAATGGCCATCTGCCTGTATTTAATTTTTAGGTTATTAGTGAAAAAGAATAGCTCTTTGCCACCAGTTGGTGCTTCAAAAGTCATGATGAGCTGAAAAAAGCATATGCATCCTCCTTCTCCAAAATCAAACTAGCTATAGATATTGAAAGTGTCCATCAGGACGTAACAAAATATATGAGTTATCTACCTTAGACTTCAGAATTTCCTTCGCCAAAGAATTTCTAAGCTCCTCAGTCTCCTGGTGTTAATTAGAAAAAGAAAAGGATCGTAACTTTGCTACATGTGAAGGTATTTCTCAGACAAAACTGGCAGGCAACTAGCAAGCAAATGATTGTACCTCATGAGGCCAACCATCCACAACGAAGACGTCCAGGGAAAACCCATCAACGGTAGAAAATGCATGGGCCTCTTGGATATTCAAACCAACTTCAGCAAGCAGGGAAGTCAACTGGAACATTATATATCAGTATAAATTACTAGCCCCAACACGACGAAAAAGTGGGAGTGAGAGAGACTAAGAAGAATAAAGGAGAAGGCAAACCTGACTAAGGAGTTTAGGCCTGTCTACTGTCGAAAAGGTGATCTCATGCATGGGCCTGTAGGATTGCGATGAGTTGTGCGATGGTATAGTGAAACTCAAAAAGAAACTAACAGATATTGGCAAGACTAAGATGAATGAAAGAAACAATATAGGGCACGGGTCTTCTAGCCGGTTCATTATATCATCACCATCAACATACAACATTCTTACAATTAAAGTCGATGAAGTTTAACTTGGTGACAACAATCAATGAAGGCAAGAGCCTAAATACTTGAAAGTCCATACCTGGCCTGGTTTGATGTTGAGTTTACAGCGCTATCACCATCTTCAACATGATATCTATGTGTGAGAGCTTCAAGATTAGATGATGAACCAAATGTTGGAGGAGCGTGGGTACTGTCCAGAGGAAAAAAGAAAGCACAAAAATCAGAAAAGGGCACAAGTTGAGAGTTGTACTACTAACAGGGATAATAAAAGTGGTACAACAAAAGTATACTATCAGCAAAAAGGAGTGAACATACGCTTGTCTGCTTGATATATAAGAACTTTGAGCATCTTCTCTCAGTGAAGAATCTAAATGAATGGAGTCAAGAGCTTTTCCATTTGAGACAGGAAACACCTGTAGAAACAAGAAGAAACAAGGTTATATTAATGGCGCAAGTTAGGCGAAACCCGCGAGCCTGAGCATTTCCAAGGACTAAATCCTAGAGGATATCTGTTATACTAGCCCAATGAAAAGAAAAGAAAACATGGATTGGAAGGTCCCTTGGGGTCCGAAAGAATTGAAACATGGACTGGAAGTGCTCACCTGCACCAAACGAACTTCAAATGCAGGTCGATTAGCAGGATCTTCTGCCAAATGGAGCAGTCTCTTGTGAGTAAGCACGTCTTCCGCCCTCTCAACATTAACGTCTAGAGCGTAGCTGCCGTAACATATAAACAAAAAGGAAGAAAAAAAAAGCATTCAACCGGATCAAATATGGATTTTAAGCTGAATTAGCCATGGATTTCGAATCTTCAAAGAATGAATACACAATGGCAAGGCAGTAAAATACGAATTGCTGAACTGAAATTCGAGACCCGCTATTATCTGACAGCATAGTCTGATCATCGATCCCTAGGTTCACATGATGCAGAAGTATTCGAATAGATGAAGAAAAGCAGACGAGACCAGTGTGAAGCCAACATGCAAGAGAAATGGAGATAGGGGGAGGGGGAGGGGGGGAAATCGGAAAGAGGGAGGCGCGAGGGTACCGTGCAGGTAAGCGATTGAAATGAAGCCAGAGCTGATCGTCGAAGCCAGGGAGATTGGCGTCTTCGTGAGCGGAATCCTGAATTCTGCGGAGAACCTCGTTGTAGACCTCCAGCTTCTGCCTGTGATGGCGAGGGTTGATGTGCGAGAAAGAGTCGGCCGCTCGGCTGCCGCAGCTCTCCACGTCCTCCTCAATGGCCATATTGTTGTTGCTGTTAGAAAATTATTATAATAACACTAGGGCACCGCCGGCGCCGCCGCTTATCTCCGACGAGGAGCCAATGGGGAAAGAGAAAAAAGAGATTCAATTCAAGGGGGAACACTGGGCAGGGATTGAATCAGACTGCAAATTCAATTCAGGATTGAAAGTGCGAACAGGGAAAAGGAGGGACAAAAGCTCCAATTAGCCGAGAGCTAAAAAAGCCATCGCGCGCGCGCGAGAGAGAGAGAGAGCAGAGAATCATCCATCGTGGTGATGCTTTTGCAGTGTTTGTTGTACTTTGGAGTATTTGCGTTGCTCGCTTTTTTTTTTTTTTTTTTTGTTTTAATTATTTTCTTCGGGTTGTTGTAACGGAGAAGACGGGAAGTGGCGCTCGCCCTCTGAAGAAGAGCAGCAGCGGCAGCCAAAAAGCAAACAGATCATTGTTTGTTGTTTGCGTCGGGGTTTGGATGGCAATCCCACGTCATCAGGTGGGGTCCATGAGAAGGCAGGCTACTAGCTCCCTGGCGGCTTGAACTGTCTGTCTCTCCGCCCATTTTAACTGCCCTTTCATTGGATAAGCGATTGAGCCTAGAAGACTATATGGGGCAGCATAGTCAGCGCCATGTAGACTTTTATTTTTTTTATTCTTATTACGATTATTCTTTTTTTTTTTTTTCGTTTAAGAACCAAGTACGTAGTCATTCAGCTTGCCTGGTGGATGGAGGCGGGTTTTGTCAGGTAATATTTTACTAACGGGTGGTTTGCTTGAGGGTTTTGGTGATGGATTTGGTCATGGAAATCTATCCATCATGGACTTTAACGGAAATTCATCGTTTGCCTTAGGGAATTAGGGAGATGGACTTTGTGGGTCCCACCACTTTTGGGGTTCCAAATCCGTGGACCCCACGGACTTTGAAGTTCCACCTCTTGAGGTGGGATTTGGGTGATGGATTAAAATCCATGATGATAAATTACCTTTCTACCCTTACTTATTACTTTAATTACAAAGTTGTCCTACTTTAATTCAATGGTCATGCAATTATAAACTTTTATAATGTCATATTTTATATATATGAGAATTTTTCATTTCGTTTTGTAATATCATAGTTTATTTAAATATGAATGTATATGTGATTTGTTAGATTCAACTATAAACATCTTATGCTCGTCCTGTGCATTATTATTTGATTGATTGTCGGATTCCAAAATCGGGGAGTTAGCAAGAAGTTGATGAGTTGTAGCAATAAAGCGAGCAATTGGTTGCAATTGATACATAATATTGCGTACATTATTAGATGAGTTGTTAATTAGTGCCAAACTATAAGACATATCTATATTTGTTGTTGAATTATTAGTCCAGGTAAAGAGTTTAAAATTTCATTGTATGCGTTGGATTTTTTTAATGAAATTTATGGATTATAATATAGAAATATAATTAGATAAGATAAGGGTAACAAGGTAATTTGAATTTCATATCCACAAATCTATTCAAACAAAATCTATAATCAAATCCAACAAGCAAACAATAGACTTGGTCAAATCCATAATGCCACCAAATCCATCATATATCCATGGTTTTCCAAAACTCAAGTTTTACCAAAACCCTCATTTTTCAAATCCATGAAGCAAACGACCCGTAAATAAATATCACCTTTCCAAACCATTTGCACAAATTTTATCACAACTTCACAAGTGATCGACAAGAAATATATTATATTAATCACGAGTGGAATTTGGAGCATTCCAACAACTAGTAGATCCAATAAAAAGTAAAAAAATCACAAGTAGTTTGGCACGTTACTAAATAGGGGTGGGCGTTCGGTCGGTTCGGTTTGAACCGAACCGAAACAGAGCATACCGGGTCCCCAAAACTGTCTGGAAGCCAAATCGAGTTCGAACCGAAATTTAATTCGGTTCGGTACACCCGAACCGAGTTAAATATCAGTTCGGTTCGATTTTAACACACAAACCGAAGCTTTATAAACCAACTCTCTCTCTCTCCCAGTCCCACATACCCTAACCCCCGCCGTTTCCCCATTTCGATCAAATATATATCTCTCTCTCTCTCTCTCTCTCCCTCCCCCTTCCAACAAACGCAGTCGATGTAGAGAAGAAAGGAGCGGTGCTGCGATGGTGGTATCTCCTCCGTCTCCCGACTCAGCGACGAGCAGAAAGCAGCGGTGCTGCGGTGGTCCTTTTCCGTCTGGCGACTCAACGGCAACGGTAATTGATGCGGAAATCAGAACACAACGTGGCGACAGGCGAGCACAGCGATTGAATGTATGAGGTCAGTATGAGTGTAGATCTAAGCATGCATGTCATTTTTCTGTTTGATTTTCACCTTCGAGTTTTAATAGCATCATCGCTCTTTTCGATTCAGGAGAAGAAAGTTTCGATTTTGGGGAAGAAAGCTTTAATTTTCAATATTGATTTTGATGCATTTGGGGTTTTATGTTTTGAATTTGGGTTTCTGGTCTCAGGGAGGAGAAGAGATCGGAGAGAGGGGAAATGGCATCGACCCATAGAGGAGAAGTTTGCGGCGACAAGGCCAAGAGATGATGGAAGGATTCGATGGACGGCGACGATGCTTGACGGTCGTTGGCGGCGGTGATGCTTGACGGCGGTGATGCTTGGTTTTTCGTCTTCTTTGTTAGGTTTAGGTTAGCAGTATATATGAAAGAGTTATGGACTTGAGGGATTTATTTTTGGGTTCTGTTTGATTTGGGCTGTGAGAATTGGGCTTCAAGTGAGAGCTTGAGTAGTCTATTGGGTTGTAAGATTGGGTTTAATTTTTTGTTCGGTTGATCGGTCGGTTGTTCGAAATTCGGTTTCGGTCTGTATACCCCTGGTTCCCGAAATAAAGGGCTTTGGCTTCCGAATTCCGAACCGAACAACACTAATTTGGTTTCGGTTCGGTCTAATTCGGTTTCGATCCGGTTCGATTCGGGTTTACCGAACCGGATGCCCACCCCTATTACTAAACCCTAAAGATAATCAAATAGTTCATGGTAGCATCGGTTTATTCCCTCTATAATTGTAAATTAACAAAAGTGTCATGTACTATTATTTTGCACAAACTGTTTACTCGTCGTTAATGAGGGAGAGTAATGACCCAATTACCCCTTCCTAATATTGAATTTAATTTTGTAGCAAGTATAATCGAATTAAAAAAAACGGGTAAATGCCATATTTGGTCACTGAGATTAGTAAATCGTGTCATGTTTACTCACTAGAAAATTTTAATATCATTTTTGGTCACTCGAATTACTGAAACATGTCGCATTTAGTCACTCTCTCGTTAGTTTCCGTCTCACTCCATTAATGGAATTGGACGGAAACTAACGAAAGAGTGACTAAATGTGACATGTTTCAGTAATTCGAGTGATTAATGTGACATGTTTCAGTAATTCGAGTGACCGGAGTTGGAAGGAGGCTAACGAGAGAGTGACTAAATGTGACATGTTTCAGTAATTCGTGTGACAAAAAATGATACTAAATTTTTCTAGTGACTAAACATGACACGATTTAGTAATCTCAATGACCAAATGTGGCATTTACCCAAAAAAAACTAATCCCTACACTTTCTTCCTTCTATGGTGAGCACACCGTCCAGTCCGCCAGCGCCGACCATCTTCATCTCCAGCGCCCACCTTCTACCGATTGTTGAGAAGAAGATGTCAAGCCGAAATCATATCGACGGAGAAGCGGTTGGGACGAGCAAGAAGCTAGACTGACTCAGTCTCTGTTCAGATGGTGGGAGAAAGGATTCCTTGAGGGTCGCCGGAGGGAGCTCTCAGTGCAGGCTGCGGCTTCGACTTCGTCGACGAGAAAATGAATTAGGATGGGGTGGGGTTTTCTCGACAGTATTAGATAGGGCTGTCAATTCGGTGTTTGGTTAGCGGCTAACCGGCCGGTCTAACCGGTAACCGCCGGTTAGCGGCTAACCGAAAATCGAAGGAAATCAGTCTCGGTCGGTTGGCGGACATTGGGTGTGGTCAGGCGGTTAGCCGAGTAACCGAAGCCGGCTAACCGCCTCTAACCGACCGATTGATACGACGTCGTTTTGGGACGGTGAGAAACGACCCCAACCCTAACACTCGCGTGAATCGTCGACAGCCGCCAGACCCTCCATCCCTCTCGTTTTATTTCCTCCTCATCCTCTACTGGCGAAATCCTCAGACGCCATCGCGCCATCGCCGGCCAGCACGCCATCGCGCCATCGCCGGCCAGCAAGCCATCGCCGCCAGCACGCCATCGCCGGCCAGCACGCCATCTCCTCGCCAGTCTGCCGCCAGCCCGCCACCCTCCAATCGCCGCCAGTCACGAATCGGCACGACTCGCCGCCAGTCACGAATCGCCATCGCCGGCCTGCACGCCATCTCCTCGCCAGTCTGCCGCCAGCCCGCCACCCTCCAATCGCGCCGCCAGTCACCAATCGGTCGCCGCCACCATCCTCCAATCGCCGCCACCCTCTAGTCCGCCACCATCCAGAGTCCAGTCCGCCATCCCCGTGCGGCGGCGCCTCCATTCCTCCATCTCTATCGATAACAAGAAGTCAAGAAAGAGAGAATGTAAGAAAAAAAAAATTTCCCCCAGGTTTCCAAGACCAAAACAGCAGGGTTGATTGTTGAATCGGTTGATTAGGATTTAGGGGTTTTAGATTGAGATGATTGTGAATATATTTTGCTGACCAATTGTGTTGTTTGTAATGCGAGATGTTACTGTTTAGACCCAGATGCTAGATCATCCATTTGAAATGTAGTTTGTAAGCTTGCTGTTCAAGGGAATTGCAGTTCTGACAAAACCCAACTTGCTGTCAATCTTGCTTGTTGTGTTCTTGTATTTAGGGCCTTGTTTGGGTTGAAATCTTAACTCCCTCAATTGTGGAGATTACAGAGTTGAATCATGGAATTGGTTGTGGTAGTAAAAAGGAGCATTCTTTGTGTAGTTGTGATACATTATTGATTCTTGATGATTGTTAGTTTTTATTTGTTAGAATT